TTTTCCAAAAGTACTGAAATGAGGAATTTTCCTGGCTGGGTTTTTTTCTCATTCTGATTTCCAGACATGAGAATCTCCCTGGGCCTTTGGAATTTTATGGAATTCCCTGAAAAAACTGGAGTTGGAGCCAGTCCTGAACTTTGGGTCTCACTCAGGGGAAAAAAAAAGGATTTTTTTCGAATTATTTAGAGGATTTAAAATGTTTTAGATTCTTTTCCAAAAGTACTGAAATGAGGAATTTTCCTGGCTGGGTTTTTATCTCATCCTGATTTAGTAACAGAATCTCCCTGGGATTTTGGAATTCCATGGAATTCCCTGAAAAATTGAAGTTATTGAAATTATATTATATTAAATTATTATATTAATTTTAATGAATTTATTAAATTATTTTATTTAAAATTATTTGATTTGTAAATATAAATTAAAAAATAAATCGATGAAAGAAATCAATTTAAAATAATATAAATAAATATAATAAAAATAATAATAAATTGATTGAAAAATCGATTTTAAAACAAAAAGAATCAAAAATAAATAGAATAAAATGAATAAAATAGAAATTAATGAAAGAAATCAATTTAAAATAGCAGAAATAAAAATAGTAACAAGAATAAAAATAAATTAATGAAACAATTCAATTTTAAAACATAAAATATAAATTAAAATTATAAAAGAAAATTACTTTATTAAATTATATTAATTACTAATACTAATAATATTGATATATAATAAATATATTATATTAATATATAACAGTATTAATATAGATTGTATTAATATTCATTAATTACAATAATATTTATTGATAATATATTAAATTATATTAAATAGTATCACATTTATTAAATTATTTTATTTAAAATTATTTTATTTATAAACATAAATTAAAGAAACAAATCAAAATAAAATAATAGAAATAAATAGAATAAAAGGAATAAAAATAATCAAATTTAATTAATAAAACAAATCGACTTTAAAACAAAAATAATAAAAATAAGTCGAATAGAAAAAGTAATGAAACAAATCAATCTTAAAATACTAGAAATAAATAGAATTAAATCATAAAAACAAATTAACGAAACAAATCCATTTGAAAATTAAATGATAAAAAAAAATAAATTATAAAATAATAAAAATAATAATTTTTTTTTTTTGAAATAATTTAAATTTCCATGGGCCAGGGGCAGCAGGGCTCTCACCCGATGTGATTTGTCCTGAGGGAAATTTCCAGTTCCCGCAGCACCTGCGTGGATTCCTGCACCCTCCTCCTGAATTTCTGCAAAAACAAAAAACCAGGGCTTAATAAAAATATCAGAAAAATAAAAAATAAAAAATCCCAGCCAGCACCGAGGCACTGAGGAAAGCACAGAAAAATCCCCAAAAATGCACAACTGGAAATGCCACAACTGCCACCAAAACCACGGAAATGGTTCTTTAGAAAGAAAAGAATAAACTAAAATAATAAAATAAAATAATAATAAAAATAATAATTTAAAAGGGTTTATACAGAAACGTTTCTCTGCAAATAAAATTAAATAATAAAATTAAATTATAATTAAAAACGGTTTATACAGAAACATTTCTCTAGACATAAAAGAATAAAATTAAATATTAAAATAAAATAATAATAAAAATAATTAAAAACGTTTTATACAGAAACATTTCTCTAGACATAAAATAAAGGAATAAAATGAAATAATAATAAAAAAGGTTTATACAGAAACATTTCTTTATAAAGAAAAGAATAAAATAATAATAAAATAATAATGAAAATAAGAATTGAAAATGTTTATACATAAGCATTTCTTTATATATAAAATAAAATAATTAAAATAATAATTAAAGAGGTTTATACAGAAACATTTCTTTATAAACCAGGCTTTGGTCCAACATCAAACTTTGTCCTGAAATTTGCAGAAAATGAAAACGAGAAAATGAGAAAATGAG